TATAAAAATAAGAGGGTAATAAATAATAGTGCTAAATAATAATGCAATTGGAACAAAAAAAAATATTATGGTATATTCATATATATTGCTTGGAGTTTTGAAAAAAAAAAATGACTTTAAAAAAATGATAATTATTTCGCAAAATTTTCCAATCAAATCTTAGTCTCTAATTTTGGAAATTTTTATTACTAAAAAGGATGGGGTCTAGAATAATTTGCCTGAACCCCAGGGGTTCATAAATTTCACCCTGAACCAGGGGTCCAGAATAAGGACGCTCATTTTTTTTACCCACAGTATCCAGCGTCTGTATGACCTATGGTGGTTGTTTAGAACAAAGTTTGATATCTATACTGTCTCTAGTATAGCGGATGTAGTATTTCTTCTATAACTATAAGACCTGCAGCTGATTCTTGATGAAGAAAATGCAAAACATTACTCGTTGGCATGACTCTATATGAAACTTTTTCTCCGTAGCTTGACTTTCAGATTACTTCACCAGAAGTATTATGTCAAACCAGAATTCTGTTTTGTTCTTTTTTCCTGTTTTTTTTTTCTATTATAATTAACACCTTACATTTATTTTGTCAGGCAGAATGATCTAAGCAAAAAAATTATACAAATCTCTACTAGACAAGTGGTATTATATGATACAGATGTTGGAATAAGTCTATAAAAGTTATAAAAGTATAATTAAGTAGTAGTGTTGAGATGTATCTATTATCAGTATTATTATTAAAGTGAATCAAGTGAATATAATTTTTTTAATACTTACTGTAATTTCTGAAAGCAAAATCAAATGCTAATAGATCGAATACTCGAGATAATAAATTGTACCTAATGTTTTGTGATGTTTAGATCTATCTAATTATATTGATCTATTTATAAAATATAATAATACTATAATATATTATTTCCTTGATTTAATTTATTACTGTTTTTATAGAAAGTTAAATGCAAATGTTACAAAATATTTCTTACCTTCAATGTTTTCAATTTTTTAAGATGGGTTTGTTGTTTCCATCTTGATACAATAAATAAAAAATAATAATCATATTAAAATAAAGATAATAAAATTAAACACAGTAGCATTTAAATTGTTATATAATAAATTTATTATTAAAAGTAAAGAGAGAGATAGATATATATATAAAAACATATTTAATGAAAAAAAAAATTTAAACTAAATTAATTTCTAAATTTAATGAAAATTAAACTAAATTATTTTAAAATATCTAAATTATTATTATTTTGAGGAAGATTCTTGATGAATATTTTCCAATCAATGTTATTAAAAAAAAAATATGACTTTTGATTTTCCTAATGGACATTTGTCTATTGGGATCAAGATTTAATAAATTTTGAACCAAATATTCAGCATCAGGTATCATTTGGATGCAATCAACAGGTGGCCATCGAATTTTAAGATCTAAAATTCTTTGAAACACCTTAATTTTACTACCATAAATAAATGGGATGTATCCAAGTAAGAATTCAAAGATACAGATCCTAAGAACCAAAATATCTATTTTTGTAGTCCAATTTTTGAATAAGATAACCTCAGGAGACATATATAGACTTGTTCCTGACCTATATCTTTCTTCATTCTCATCTAAAACAACATACTTGGCTAATCCAAAATTGATCAATTTTAAATGTCCATTTGAGTCAATTAATACATTTTCAGGTTTTATATCTGCATGAATGATTCCTTTTGTGTGAATATACTCTAATCCTAAAATTATTTAAGCAGCTCATTAAAAGTTTTGAACTTTCGTAACAATGATTTAAGATCTCCTCCAATTAAATATTCCATTGTGATATATACATTTTCTGGATCCAGAAATACATCATATCCACATACAACAAAAGGTATTGGAAACTTTTTAAAATTTTACATTCTACAGTAACATTCTCAATTATCTTTTGTTCATAAATCATTTCCCGATTGATTGCTTTAATTGCACAAATCTTGTTGGTGATTTTGTGCTGAGCAAGTTTAATTGATCCAAAATTTCTTTTGTTTAAATTCTTAATGATATTAAAATCATTAATAGTCAAATTAGGAGTAATCATAGTTACTTATTGGGATGATGATAATTGTTGTTGTTTAATTGGAAGAAGATTTGGTTTGGTTTATTACTGAGATAAAGGTGTTGTTGTTTGGTTGGATTTTGAGTGATAATTGATGATGGAGGAATATTTTGTTTGGTTGATGTAATAATTGATAGTGGAGGACTTTTTTCGGTTGGTGTAATGATTGATAGAAAAGGATTTTGAGTAATAATTATTGGTTAGTAAATATGGATTGATGGGAATCATAATTATGTGCTATACACCCAGAAATACAAGATTTAACTTTTGGAATTTACTTTTAGCATTAAATTTTACTTTCAAAAATTATCCATTTTTGTTTTTTTTTACTTTTTAATTAATAAAAAAGAAAAAAATTTGAAGGTAAGAGGGGCATATTTAAAATTAAATATATTAATATAAGAAATATACAATATGGTTATTGTTTATTATCACCTATAATAATTATATTAATAAAATATAACTTTATTAAAAATTGTACCAATAATTCGTTTCTGAGGATGTGAAACTTTGTGAATTATCACTTTAATCACAATGTAGGAAGTTAATTTTTGAGGTCTAAAATATCCACAATATAATGTCAACATTTATATATAATAAAATATAATAAAATATCATTAATATAATAAATACAGCAAATCAAAACAATCTAATTTTTTAAAAATATATACATCACCAATTTATTCCTTTGCATAATTCTTTGGCTTGTCGTTCTAAAACATACTACTAATACAATCTTTTAAAATCTCTCTCTCTCAAGGTCTAAAGGAGAAATTTGAGAGAGTCATCCTGCTTCTAGCTATTCAAAACGCACCTGATGAATATTTAGATATATCTTTAGATATTTATACAGATAAGAATAATTCAAAGGTATGACCCACAATAACATTAGGTCAGTATACATGTGAAGGCAACATTCTATTTCGAATATAACTTTAAGTATTAGTGTTATTGATATTTTTTTTGATTATTTTGTTATAAGGAAATTCTTAATGGATCGCTTACTATCATTAATGTTTTACTTGATTTATTTAACTACTTCAATTTGAAGGTTTATTATGCCAGACCATAGTTAATTATAAACAACAAGAAGGTGATTTAGAATCTGTTGGAATAGAGATTTATATTTATTTAAAGAATTTAATTTTTATTTTTTTAACTTTCAAATTTTACTTTTATTAAAGACAATATATTAATTCTTCTTTTCACCTTCTCACTTCTAGGATTTAAAAAAACCACGCAATCTATCTTTAACTTTCAAAGAATCTATTTCTATTCATAGGGGATGATGATCCTCGATTTATAGATTATCAACTTACACAAAAACTATTGAAAAATTATTATATTTCTCTACCAATCATTGCTTCCTTCCTTCGTGATTGTCATTTTCAAGGTAGGAATTTTAATAATTTTTTGAAGCATTATTAAATATTAGTATAAGGATATTATGAATTTCTTATTTACTGATCTTCACTACCTATTCTGACCTTAATTCAATTATTTGATAATTTCAATTAATTCGATGAAAAAAATAATTTAAGAATTCAATTGATAGTAAAATTAATGATTTTCAACTCAATTTAATCGAATGACTATATTAACATAACAATACAAAATAAATACTATAAATAATAAATAGAAAATAATCATTGCAATAATTCTTTTAATCTACTTAATCAAATGATATTTAATTTTTTAAAGAATAATTTTATTTAACAAAAATATTTCTATGTACATTTTTATAACATTTTTATGGCCATTTATTTTTACATTTTTATAAGCATTCTTTAAACATTTTTATAAACATTCTATATACAATAAAAGCATATAGCAGTAGAAGTATTGGTGGTAAAAATACTGTTGACGAGTCAGGAGAGAATGGTAGCGGTGATGATGGTGAAACTAGTGGAGTAATAGTGTAGGAGCGATGATAATGGTGAAGATAGTTGTGAGAATAATGGGTGGGGATGGTAGTGAGAGATGATTCTGATAATGTTGGTGGTAGTAATATTGGTGGTAATAATTCTTTTGGTAGTGATGGTGGTGGGGTTGAAGATCTTAATCGACTCAATAGGGAGATCTAGATTAATCCAATAGCAATTATCGTCCACATGAAGAAGACATTTTTACTATTATTTTAGAAAAAAATGAGTAAGGAATGTTAAAAAAGTAATAAACCATCAACAGTCTGATCCAAATTTTGGTGATAATTATACAATTATATATTAAAAACTTTTGAACTGAATGAAGCAAATAAATTAATGATTATAAATAGTTGAAGATTATAGACAGTGTAATTATATACATATCTGACTGTATTTAAAATATAAGTTTATTCAATAAAAAAAAAATCATGATTACTCGTCAGTTTTTTCAATTTGTTACATAAAATAAGTAATTGTGAAAAAAATATACTATATCATTTTCTAAATAGAAAATAGAATATTTAATATTATATAGTTAAACAATCTAGAAATTTTTTTATTGTTGTAAATAATCATATCAAAAAATATATTCAATATCATGTAGTTAAAAATAATAGTCAAAAGTTTATTTTATGATTATTATTATGAGTATTATCAATTATGCACGTAAACAGAACTATACTACTATCAAATTCTCACTATATAGATATATTTTTTACAGTATACAATTTTTTTATATATTTAATTATACAGTTAAAATAAGTAATCTTATGATTATAATTTTTATTATTACATTGAAATTTTTTGTAGCATATGATTTTACTTGTCAAAAGTTGATCGTATAACTATGATTACTATTATGATTATAATTATTATAAGTCAAGACTCAAAGTCTACACTCTTAACCTTGTATATCACGTGTTAGCTATTTCTTTTTTTTTTTGATTCCAGATAAGTTTCAAAAATATAATAATTATTTGTGGCTTGATTATATTTGCTATCTCAAATTTGTTAACAGGTAATTTGAATAAATTAGCTTTTTAATTTTTTTCACTTTTTTTTTATCAATTCGGATTTTGCTAAAATTTTTATTAAATGTTAAAATAAGATTTCAGATAAAATACATTGTTCATTATTTTAGATTATCATTTATTTTTGGAAATTGTGTATCGTGAATAGGTATTTTAATTAAATACTTTATCATCTCGTGATTTTCATTTCACATTTTTAATCATAATAATAAGTAAAAAATAATTTTTTTTCTGATTTAATTAGTAACACTAAAAAAAGAATTAACAAGTAATTTTTTTTCAACATTAAAAGTTGTATTTTCGATTTACACCTGATTTCATTTTCAGTCACTTGTCTCTCTTTTCAAACTTATACTTTTGCAATTTCATCTAATTAAAAACAGTATTCTGTCTACTTTTCTTCATATTCTTCAATTATTATACCAAATTTTTGTCTATTTTCATATCTAAATCAATAAAACATGTCTAATTCTATTCATCAATTATACTTCGATAGTTACAAATTAGCATCAATAATCCTTCACACTGTTGACCATAATCCGACCTTCAAGAGATACAATTAACTATTAGCTAAAGATACTGTAGCTAAACTAAAATATAATAAACTACTAACTAATTTATATTAAAAGATAATATAGTT